TAGGGATGGAAATGAGGGTGGATGCAACTAGATTGCTTGCCTCCAGAGACAAGTTTCATAAATTGGGAGTCGGTCACCATCGCAAACTTCTTTTAGACAATTTTTTGGTAGGAATGGTGAAGTACTGTAGGATATTTCGCGCATTTATCTAATTCAAACGGAGAAAAGCCATATCTCCTCACCTGGAGAAAATCTTACAATTAATCAAAAAGTGGTAAGGTTAGAGACGGATACCTCATGTTTCTCAAGTGAGTGAATACACAGCGATATCTACTAGTCCCTTGCACCTATCAAGGCTTGACCCCTTATACGCTTCCTTGCCAGATTATCCATTCGTTTTACGGTCGAGATATTCGGTGCAACCTGAGTCTACTTCACTGCAGGTCCATACGTCTCCCTGACATTTCCACCTCAGGGTTACACCACCAACACAGCATTGCCACTGACTTTAGGAAAAAACAGTGTACACACAAATGAGCAAAACTTACAACAATTATCAGCATTGGATATTGCGAGGTTACTGTTCCTCCACGAACACAAGATGCCACTATCATAAATTATTTGCGCCTGAAGTCAAAATAAATCAAAGGCCATTGTAGGGAAAAAGGTAAACAGAGAGAAAGGAAACTTAACATAGCAAACGATTTTCTTTAAAACCTAAGGAGCTTGTAAGATGAACTTCAAACAGGGGAGTGCCCTGAGGTGATCGCCTTTGGAAAGTTCAAACAAAGTGGAATTTATGTACGCTCAAAGGTGAGGTATCTTCTCTCAAGCCGAACTCCACGTATACGGTTGTTTTATTTTTTCGAAACCGCGAAAAGGGCCACGAATATTTGATCAAAATATTTCCTGGGGAGAATTCGAAAAAGAAATGTTAAGTTTGCTATAAGTGCTTGAAGCAAAAATTGTAGCATACATAGCAACGAACACTTTCAATTTGTTATAATGAAATTCAATAATTTTCTTACCACTCTGATATTTTGCAAAATCGCAGAATGGCACGAAGAAGAC